TATAAGACATATTTAAACTTAACTGTAAATTCTCCTATATTTCAAAGGAAAGATTTAGAAAAAAATAGCACAAATCATAAGTAACATGCAATTTAAAAAAAAACATTTCACATCATGGACATAATATTTTGTTATTAGGGCTCTACTTTTTTAAAGACATCTGTTATTTAATACAAAATAAATATTGATTAGATGGTTTTGATAGTTGGCAGTCACAATTTCTTAGGTTCTGTAAGAAAGTAAATTTGAAAGAAAAGTTAAATAAAATCATTCCAAGTAGTCTGATACATATCTCTTATTCTTGTCTGCACACACAGAAAACAAGTGTGCTACAATTTAAAAGAAACTAAGGTATAAGGAACACTTTGGTTATTTAGATTAAGAGAACTAGAGGAGGGGAGAGGAACCTGAATTCCTCCTTCACTGTTCTTTCATAATTTACAGTTCATCTCAAAGACCCCATTCCTTCACATTATATGTATTAATAAGTGTGCATTTAAAATTGATAGACTGCTAATTTACACCTTAAGTTCATCGGTGTTGTAGTGATTATTTTATCTTATACCTTCTTAGACTTATCATTTTCATAATGTAAAAACCTATGCAATACTTAGTGCTTTAAAAATGGTTTCTGAACCAATATAGTACTCAGGAAGAGAAATGTTGAAAATGAATCTTGTAATTAAGAATGAATTAAAGAAATACATATTTCTTTTCACTTTGACTTTCACAAAAGTGTAGTCCACTTTTAACTTTAAAGTAGCTGTTAGGTATTTTTTTGTTTGTTTGTTTTTTGGTGTGTGTGTGTGTGTGTTTTTTAAATTATTCCAATTTGTTAATTTCAAATGACAGCAGAATGCATTTCATAGTACACACATGGAGCACAATTTTTTATGTCTCTGGTTGTACACAAAGTATAGTCACACCATTCGTGTCTTCATACATGTACTTAGGGTAAGGATTTGTTTGTTTATTTTTAAATCTCTGATTTAATTCTTCATTGTTAAGATTGAGAAACCATGAAGTGCTATTTCTTTATGAGAAAAATTTTCTTAGAGAAAAAGTCCCACGTAGTTATGGAAGATGTCAATTTGCTGTTTGTCTTATGGCCTTGGTCACCCAAGCGTGTGCTAAACAACCCCAATAAGCTAGCATTCTAACTTCATAAACTTAAAAATGGAAGGGAAGCATTTTCACACAGTCATAACACATAATAAACAGCTTTAAAGAGGTTTTTCTAGTGTACTTTGTGCATCCTAATGATATAGGGGGGAAGTGATTTTTTAATAAAAATTCTAGGCACCTAATTCTACTTTTGCTTTTGAAATGTAAAAACCAGAGATGAACCTCAAAAAAAGGGGGGGATCTGTCTAGTTCTATGTGTAGAGATTCCTCGAAGTACAGAAGCCAAAGAAGAATCCTCCAAGTTTAATATGATTTAAGAACCCAAACAAAAGTCCTCAACAGTCTAGGTTCAGTGGCTACCCAGGAGGCTAAGGCAGGAGGATCACAAGTTGGAGGCTAGCCTGGGTAACTTAGCCACACTCCAGCTCAGTAAAGTAAAAAAAGGCTTGAGTTTTAATCTATGGTAGAGTGGCCCTAGGTTAATCTCCATTACCAGGCAAAATTAGTACTCCAAAGTGACAATTTTGTGAAAATCCATCGGGTGAGGTTGGTCATATTTCTTACCCTTAATAGAGAAGTTCTTTTAAAGGAATCTGGGTACATGTAGACATTTCTTGATTTGTCCATAGGCCTGGAACTGCACTGAGAGGCATAGAACACGTTTGGGGGACATCCCCTTAATCCTTTTACCCCAAGCCTAACTAACACTTAAAGTAACACTAACAAACTGATTCCTGTAGGAGGTGCTGTCGATTTACAAATGACCAGGAACGATCAGGTTGCTAGGTTAGGACTTAAGTTATCTGAATGTCTACATAGTGAATTACTTATAATTTCTTTTAATAAATGACAAAATAGTAAGAGGTTGCTGCAGCGTAGCAGCAGGTCTGCTTACCTTGCAATGTGAAATCGATCTTGTTTTGAATCATACAGATGCAATCTGAAGAAAGCTTTTTATGTGAAAGATTTGGAGCGACCTTTCTTACTGTTCTTCCATGAGACGGCTTGCTGACAGAGAAACAGATCAAATCCCCACTGCTGGAAGCAGGCTTTCCCAATTTTAATCAAGGAACATTTTTGGTATGCTTTAGCCCTGAAGCTCAGAGTTCAAAATCCACTTGGCCCATTTCACTTTTCTTACTTAACGACCAGCGAGCCAAGACGCTGGCGGAGGCCTGTCAAAAAGGCCACATCCTCCACACCCTGTGCTTAAGACCAGGAAGAAAGCTGCATTTTTAGCTCCAGTAGCTAAAGGATACTAAAACATCTTATTTAGGTTTTCTGAAAAGAAACCTTTGCTATAGTTACCACTTCTTGAAAAGAAATAAAGAAAGGCATGCAATACCTGCGGGCCTTGGGAGCATTTTAAGATCAAAAGGAGAAATGCTTTTTAAAAGTTGTGAGGAACAAATAGAAACGAGGGAACTTAGCTTTGGGAAACGCAACTGAGAGCTGTCCTGATTGAGGCTCCTAAATCCCGGTTCCTGCTGGCAGAAAAGGAAGACTTTTCGCCACCTTATCCTTTTCTCCTCCCTCACACCACACTTAATAGAACCCCAGAACCCCCAGAATGTGACAGTAATAATGAAGCGAGGTTCGGAATGAAATGCCAAGAATTGCTTGGACTGGAGAGAAATGCACGCTCCGGCCGCACTGCCTGTGAGCCGCCTTCCCCCACTCGGAGACACACAAAACCTCTGTCCCTACTGCTCCAAAGACTTCCCGAGGGGGTGGGAAGAAGTAGAGGTCCGGGAACTCTGGTGCGGTTCAGAGCCGGGCTTCCAAGGACATCACCCTAAACCAAAAGGAAGCAGGAAGAGGCTAGGGTAGGGTGGTAGGGTGAGTTCCGAACTGGGGTCGCCCCTTCCCCTCCCCAGAAATGACGCCACACTGCATTCTCTGATGTTTTCTTTCCCGACACGCTTCTGGCAATCTTTTGAGCACTCTCAAATGGACTGAGAATTAGGGTGCACAACCTTTCTGGAAGATGCGCCTCTTGCGCTAGGAGGCCTCTAGACTCCCCTACCCATAAAGTGTAGCGGGAAAGGGTCCAAGTTAGCTCTCTGTACCGGTCCTTCGTCCCCTCTCCACCACAGTGGCCTAAACGCATCCCGAAGAAATTCCCAGGCCTCGAGGCTGCGGGTCAGGGGAGCTGCGCGCCAGGGGCCTCGCCTGCCACTTCCCGCCTGAGCTCGCCTGGCCTCCGGCGCGTCTCTCGTGCGCGGGTCGGAGGGCGGACTCGCCAGCAATAGTTAGGAAGGCGAGCGAATTTCTCTGGTGGCTGGGGCTCCACAGGTGAAGAAGGCGCTTTTATGAAGCCAGTGCTAATCTCTCGTTCCTGGGGCAAAAAAAAGAAAATGTCAACGCTTGTCATCAATCTGCAATCATATAACGGACTGGGGGAGTCACACCCTATCAGTTTGCATTTCTTTTATAAATGAATCACCCTGGAAAGATAAGATGCACACAAAACAATGCAAAATGCCCAGCGTGCGTTTCCAAAGGAAGAGTGTGCAAAGGTTTTCGAAAAAACAGAAAACTCCAAGGTGCTAACATTTCCTGGGTCCCTGAGAACGAGCCCTGGATGGATGTATTCCAATGGACATTCTGAAACCTTCTCCCTAACTGGAGATGAAAACATACCGCATGTATTTATATCAATAATATATGGGGGAGGCATGTCTGTATGTATTTACCTCATACATATTTCTATAAACTCCAGCATCTGGAAAGGGTGGGGGGTAAATAACACTGAACGGTTAAAATTATGGAGAAGGGATAATAACTGATTACTAATTTGAAAGTAAATAAACAGGTGACTTTTTCAGATCAAATTCCTCCTTGGATCGTTACAATAAATATCTCTGAAGGAAGCTCTCTATTTATGTTGTCATTGATTAATTCTTCACTACCTCATTTGATTTCGATTTAGAACGATTTGATTCTAATTTAATTAGCATGTAATTTGGATGTACATAATTACTGTAATTATGACATTCAGGTAAGGCAGCTTTAGGCTGAAAGGCAATTTCAAATTTTCTAGCAACCTACTTTGTACTGGGAAATGGACAAGGACTTTGCGCCCTGCTATCCAAGTAGTAATTAGCACATCTTTGAAATAGGCAGTGCGGCGGGGTTTGTATTAAAACAGCAAATACAAGCCCAGCCGAGTACCCGCTGCAAAGGTGGCTGCGAGTTCCCGGAAACGCACTGCGTTTCCCTGGCGTGAGTTCGGGGAGCCAGGCGCCCAGACGCCTCGGCCGGGTTCTCGCTGCTTCGGGCGACTGCGCCTCCGCTGCATCGGGCACGGGTTTGGAAGGTGTCGCTGTTAAAATTAAAATATAATAAATGCGCGAGGGGTGGGGGAGGGATGAAGTCACTGCACGACGTCTGAGGACTGGGGATGGGGGTGGGGTAGTGGACTAGGAAGAGGAGGGAAAGGGGCGGCGGGGGGAGGGCGATGCACAGAGGAGAGAAAATTGGCCAACGCCCCCAACTGTTATCTGATTTTAGATTTGGGTTTCAAAGGGAAAAAGGACAAAGAAGGTCGGTCTGTGCCCAAGGGGTGTTCGCACCCTTCGGAAGGGTCCGAAGCGAGGGCTCTAGGGGCTCCTCGCCCGGCCTCGGCCTGCACCGGCGTCCCCGGCGCCCGACTTGGGCTGAGGTGGCCTCCTGGAGGACCGCGGCTAAGCAGAAAGCAACTTGGGAGGTCCCTGCGTCCTGGCTGGCCAAAGCTGCGTGTCCTTGTCTTTCCTTTCCATCCAGGGGTGTCTGGGGATGTGGGGGTGGTTTTGGTGGCCGGGTTTTATCTGCTTGGTTCCGGCCCCATGGGCTTCCGGACCAGGAGGCCTCAATCTGGGGTCGTTGAGCCAAGTATGCGGGAGTGGGGGGCGCTGCTCCCACAGCTAAGTTCCAATCTCAGGGTCCACGCGCCGCCGGCTGCGCTCAACGTTCTCTGAGTTGATAGACCCCGAAGTTGCCTTGAAAAGGATGTTAAATGCAACAACGCTAAGACCAGGGCCGAACGGGGCGTTATTTTGTTTTGCTTGGCTTTTCCGGCCAGCACATTCCAGAAACGACCCCCTTCCCTGAGAACCACGGCTAAGCAGTGCCCCCCAGTAGCGGAGCTCGTTCCCTGATAGAACACAAAACCCCGCTTTTCTTTGCTTGATTCGCTGGGTTGCTGCAGCTCACAGGAAAAGCCGGTCTCCGCACGCTAAGAGCCAAGCTCCAGGCAGACAGGGCGGCTCTCCCATTTTGGAGCTCTAGATGGCGCCAGCGAGCCGCACTCGCCACGCTCCTCTTGTGGGAATCAAGAGCTACTGTCAAACATAAAAGCAAATCAGAGTTTTCAGTTTTTTTAATGTGTTAAGAATGTTATTCCTTAAGAAAATTTGTAGCTAAATTATTCTCACTTAAAATAAACACTTAGTATACCAATTACCCAAATGGGCGGGATTTATGTGAGATTTACTTCATCTGCATTTTTGTAGTGGAAGAGAGCTTTGGTGAATACAGATAATAGATGCAAATAAGATTAGAGTTAAAATAAATAAAGTTTCCATCTGAATAATAAGAAATTCAATTTTACACGATTTGCAACGACTTGACGGAATGTCCAGACACGCCGTTCAGGTGCACAATCTAATCTCGTCAAAGTAATGTTTTCTCTCCTTTGCATAAAGAAAATTTTTTTCCTTTCCTTTTTCCTCACCAGGTAGGATCCGATTCACTCCAGGGGGTTACAGCAGCGTCCGGAAAGGAAAGCACCGAGGGAGGGTGTGGTTTGGGGATGGATAGGCGCAGGCCGAGGAACGCTTGGTCTTGGTTCCTCTATTGCCCTAGAAGCTGCGGAACAGGAAACTTTGAGAAACCCGCTGAAACGAAATCGCATTTTCCCTCACCCCGGCTCGGGAGGGACTCCGGGCCCCGGTGCAACGACCTCCAGCCTCGCACCGACCTCCACATCTGTACCCAGGTTCAGGCGGCGGCCTTCACCTCCTCTGGGTCGCGAAGCCAGAGAGGCCCAGGCCACCCGGGCCCCGAGGTGGCCCTGGGGAGGCACGGCCCCACCTCAGTTGGGGACCCAGCTAGTGTCCTCGCTTATGGACTCTCTCTTCTCACTCACGCCCTCTCCAATTTGCTCGGCCTCAGCTGGTCGCCACCCACTGGGGTCAAGGTTCTCTGCGCCCCTGGGATGCCTACGGCTGAGGGAAGGGACGGAGGAGGGGCTGGAGGCAGTTGGAATCCGTGTTCCCAGGTTGGTTTCGGCCAAGAACGGTTGTCCGGCTCCCACCGGGTTCAGGTTCCGCGCACTCTGGTCTCCCCGCAGGACACTTGGGTCTGTGTCGCCGCCCGCCGTTCCCGGGAGCCGCGGTGATGGACATCGGCTGACCCGCGGGGCAGAGGCAGGGCGCAGAGGCCTTGATCACTGGCCTGCGGAGGGAGCTGCGCGGCAAGCGGGACCTGCACAGCCAGGCCCTTTGATCTGCTTTTATTATGAAGGAGAAACAAAGCTTACTGGACCCGACACCCGGGCGCCCTCATTCCTCGGGAACCCTCACCACGTCCTCACCTCCACGCCGCCCGCCCACGGCCCCAAAACCTACCCGGCACACTCTGGGCCTGCAGCGCTTCTGTCCAAAGCACCTCTCTGCCAGCTTCTCCCCAAGACCAGATATGAACCCCGAAGGAGCATGAGGGGCGAAGAGTCGCAGTTAGAAACGGCTTGAGCGGTGAAAGAAAATGGCCAAAGTGAAGAAAAACTATAAAATAGAGTTTTCCCCGTGGAAGAGCAGGGCTGCCGAAGCCGGGGGTGGGGGTTGGGGGAAGCGAGCAAAAGAAGCAAAGGGAAGAAGCCACTGAACCTCACATTGCAAACGCCCCGCTGGGGACCTTCGTTCTGTTCAATCGCTACTTCACTACTTGGCTTTTCAGAGCGGAGTTCTGATGACTGTTAATAACAATAATTAATTTTTTTCTTTTCTAAGAATTAAAATCTTCAAGTTTCCAAGGACAGTAATCGAAAAAGAAAAAAAAAAAATCTGTTGGTGATGACTTCTCTTGTATTTCCTATTGTGTAGGAAGCCTTTTAGAAATATTTTTATTCTGCAAATATGTACTTTATTTTCCAAATTAAAATTTTTTTTTTTTCGAATTGCAAAAATTGTCTCATTTACCAATTTTCTTTTCGACTCTCCCTCCCTTCTCCCTCTTTTTAAACTGGTGCTGTTAAGTTGGTGGTCAGAAGACAAAGAGAGTGAAAATAATTTTCATTTCAATAATTGCCTTCTGGTCAATTTAACTGTGCCTTATTTTGAAAGAGACTGTCTAAATGAGATTCCTGTCCCAAATGTGTTCCCAGGCCTGATCCCAGCCTTTAATTATTCCTGAGTTTTTTTCTTCAGAATAAGACGCCGCACTGAGTAATCACAAAGAAGTCAGAGAGCATCCTTGAACCTTTTCAGAAGCAGCGCCACTGATATTCAAATAACCTGCGAGGGCCATTTGACGGCTCGGGGACCTAGGCATTTCCAATTCACTATTTGCATAGATCAGCCTTCTTTGAAAAGGAAAGGAGCAGTTGTCTTCCATAACATTAAAAAGCCTAGTTATCAAATCAAGTGCTTAGTTTGGGGGCTTTTAAAACGTTTACATTTTATCTCAGGTTGCCCTTTACTGTTTGACATGCAAATTTGGTGCAGTTAATTTAGACAATTAAAAAGATCTTCAAGGGAGCTTTGTCACAGAGAATATTTGGAGTTTTCCCCGTGGACCAGCTGAGATAAAGTTGGACAGAACAAATGATGTCTAGGAGATTAATTAGATATTTGATAAGACATGAATCCCTAATAAGGGAATACAAGGCACAGGGGGCTGCTGTGTGCTCTAAGTCAAAATTAATAACATTTAACAAGATTTTCATTTAGGCATGAAATGTCTTTTCCGGGGTATTGACTCTAGCGATTTATTCCCCTGAGATACCTCCCAACCTAGAGGGTCTTAAGAGCTAAAAGACTTCTCTCTAAAAAGCTTTTTCCTTTCACAGATTGTTTTCAAATTACTTTCAAAAAACAAACAAATCCACCAAAGTTTTCTCTGACCCCTATGGGAAGTTAGGTGTCTCCCCAGTTAGACTTGCCAAGGAACTCTGCTGTTTTTAGGTGATGCAGATACTTAAAATGTCACTTTTCCAGAGCCCACCCATTAAGTAATACAACTGCACGTTCTTATAACCCAATTTAATTTATGCTGTTGATATACAAATAAATAATTTTGACTTCTCAAAAATGTATATGTATTATGGCTTTTATAACCCACATAAACTTTACATTACCTACAACTAACATTAATGGAATTGTTTCCCAACAAAAAAAGTCAACCACATAAAGGTTATTAAGGGGGAAACAGGATTTAAAATAAAAAAAGGAAGTGTATTGTTCAGAGTCCTTTAATAATACCAAAATGAAAATATGTCAAGATTTTCTTCATACAGATAAACGCATTTAATTTCTTTAGATGACCTTAACTTACGTGTTTGAGTGAAATGATAACTCAACATTTTAAATATCTTTTTACATATATACTGACTTTCACAAAGTGCATCAGAAAATTAAAAAAAAAAAACTCCCTGAATTTCAGGAATTCACCAAAAAGAAAAAAAAAAACTCTATTCGAATGAACATTTACAAGAAAATAAAAGCGAACACAATCTTTTGAACCCTATTTATACAGATGTTATGAAATACAGAGAAACTGTCGCTAGACTTCCAGTTTAATTTCTCACCTTAGGCCTTTTTTTTTTTTTTTTTTTTTTTTGATGCTTCCTTTTTTGGAAAAAAAAAAGTCTCATTGTAAGTAGATATCAAGCAGGACTTGGAGCATTTTATATATAATATAATCCACACAAAGGGTCTGTTTTTATAGGTCCATTTGTTTTCAAATGTTCTGACAGTCCTTTGCTGGGTGGTGGCTAGTTTTCTGAGAAAAGGACAGAGAAGGACAGTGGGGGAGGAAGGGGCGATTCTGTGTATTGCTCTTCGCTTGAGAAGTTTGTGTAAGGGATGTGTGTATGTGTGTGTGCGCGCGCGCGCACGAGTGTGGATACTTGAGGTTGTGGGTCTCTGGTGTATGTATATATCTGTGTGTGCAGTGTTAAAAGGTGTTTATGTCGAAGGATGGTTTGCTTTTGTTTCTGGACCACGCGTTCGATTCTCATCTGGGCGCGGACGGCGGAGGGGAGCTCCAGGCTAAGCCGGCAAACCAGGGCCGAGGCGCCGCGCGTGGCTCCACCTCGCGCCCATCCGGGCTTCGGGGCGTCACTGGAGCCCTCGCCCTCCCGTGCCCCGCTTGCTCGCCCTCCGAACCTCTCACTCGCTTTCCGTGTCTCTACTCGCTCGCTCGCGCTTCTCGTCCAGCCTTTAAGAATCGTTGGGGCCAGTCGGGGCTTCCTTGCCTCCCGCCGAGGCCGCCGCTGCAGCCGCCGCCGCAGCCGCCGCCGCCGCCGCCCGGGCGGCACTGACGCCGGAGTCATGCAGGATGAGGTCGGGGGACTCGGAGCGGGGCGTCTCCAGGTTGCTGGCGTCCGTGTCACTGTCGCTGCCCTTTTTGCCCCCGCCGCCCCCGTTGTGCGTCTTAATGTGTTTGCTCAGGTGGTCGCTCCGCATGAAGCGCTTGTTGCACACCGGACAGGCGAAGCGCTTCTCGCCCGTGTGAGTCCGCAGGTGCCGCTGCAGCTCGTCCGAGCGCGTGAAGCGCTTGCCGCAGAAGAGCCAGTTGCACACGAAAGGCCGCTCGCCCGTGTGCCAGCGCAGGTGCGCCTTCAGGTGCGATGTCTTGCCGTACACTTTGCCGCAGCCCGGAATGTGGCAGCTGTGCAAGCCCTTGCGCCGCAGGCTCGCCCCGGCAGGGCCCAGCCTCTCCGCCTCCTGGCAGTTGGGGCAGTCGCAGGTGGCGCGGCCGGAGTAGCGGCGAGCCGAGCGCGCCGAACTCCCCCCGGCGGCGGCAGCCGCAGCGCCGGAGATCATGGCGCTGGCGGCAGCGGCCGCCACTGCGGCGCTTGAGTCCGAATAGGAGGGCAGCACGGGCTTGAAGCCGTCCTGAGCCAGCAGGTGCTGGCTGGTGGAGAGCAGGTGCGAGGCGGCAGCGGCAGAGGAGCCGAGGCCCGTGGAGCTGAAGGCCGAGTGCGTAAGCGAGCTGAAGTCGGGATTGTAGGTGCCCAGCTGCGAGTGCAGCGAGGCCTGGGGGGCGCCCGAGTGCAGCGAGCTCTGGAGCCCCCCAGCGGGGTTCTGCACCTCCAGCCACGAGCCCGGGCTGCTGTGCACGTCCCACCACGACGACGCCGCACCGTTGGTCACCTCGCCCGCCGCCAGCGTCGAGTGGAAGCCTGATTTGTACCACGACTCGTAAGGATGCGCCATGCCCACGCGCGGGTACAGGCCGTCTGCCGCCGTCGAGTGAACCTTGGAGATGAAGGCCGACTGGCCGCCCGCCTCCTGTGGGGACACCCCGGCCGCCGCCGCCGCGGCAGCGGCCGAGTTGGAGAAGAGGCCGCCGTAGTCGCTGCTGAAGGCGGACGACGTGGGCGACGTGGAGGCCAGGCAGAAGGCGCTGTTGGCGGCGCTGGAGCCACCCGCCAAGCCGCCCGAGCCACGGCCGCCAGTGGCCACAGCGAAGCCTGAGAGGCTGGAGCCGAGGTTGCAGCTGGACGAAGAGCGCTTCCAGGGATGAAAGCCTCCTTTGGCGAAGGCGCTTGACTCTGGTAGCGTGGTCAGCGGGCTCGTGTTGCCGATCTTGTTGCAGGTCGCCGCCAGCATGGCCAACGGGGTCGTTCCAAAGCGCGGCTCTTCCTAGAGTGGGTGGGGTGAGGGAGGGAGCAAGGAGGAGGAGGGCAGGAGGAAGTGGGGGGAGACACAAAGTGCACCCGTGAGCAGCCTTGTCCTCCACAGCTGGTCCCGGGGTGCCGTGGGTCCCTGGCTCGCGCCTCCTCCCCACGCGCTCGCGGAGGATGCCCCGCGCCCTCCGCGGGGCAGAGGCGATTGCCAGAGCGAAGGTCCGGGCGCCGGGAAGTTATTCTTCGGTGAGGCTACAAATCATAAATATCTCGGTTTTCTCCACCTCAGTTGCTGCAAAACCTGCCTAGAACCGGACTTAAGACTCTCTCCCAGAAGCCCCCAAGTCGCCCTTCCGGGTGAAGCATGAAGGTAAACACAGACAACAAACACCCAGCGAGGGCGGAGGTAGCCGAAACTGCAACCCAGGGATGGGCGAAACTTGGAGCACTTCTTCCAAGGCTTGTTACACGACTTGTCTGTTTTTTAAATAGAAAATTTTGGTTTTAAAATTCACACACACACACACACACACACACACACACACACCGATTACAAAAACAATATGAAGATAGCGGCCCAGCGACGGTTTTCAAAGTCAGGGGCGAACTGGGGAGACGCGTAAATGTAAATGTTTATTAACGGTGAGTGTATGGACTGCAAAACGATTAAGACTTTTCTGGAAACACCACAGTCGTCTAACTGCAACAATCCCCAAAGCAAGGGGGGATGGGCTATAAATCAAGGAGGGGGGGAAATCTTTAGCTTTTAAAACCAAATGAAAAGAAACTTGCTTAAGAAACCCTTTTCTTATAAAAGCATCTTCTGGGTTCCAATAACTCTGAAAGAATCAATCCCGGAAATGTGGAAAGTGCTAAAATAAGCTGAAGCTGCGGTCCAGCAGCAACAGTTCCTTGGGAGTCGCGGACCCGGTGAAGCCATAACGAAAAATTAGTTAAAACAAGCAAATGCGTTGCCGCGCTTGCGACTTACCCCAAGTATAGACGTGGCCATAGCAGGTCTCTGAGCTGCGCGGCGGGGCCGGGAGAGGGGCTGAGCCTGGCGACTGCTCTGAAAAACTGCTCGGGTCCCGCGCGGCTCCCGTGTCCCCGCGCTAGCGCCGAGCGGACTCCGGGCTCCCGCCGGCTAAACTCAGCCTAAGTGCGAGGAGCACCCGCTTTGAAGTGCCGCTGGCTGCGCTTCTCGCCCAATGAGGGCGCAGGCAGAGCAGACGGGAGCTGCCCCGCAGCCAATCAGACGTGCCGAAGGGCCCGAGCCCGGGCTCCCGGCGCGTGCCAGTCAAGTATGCGGGTGAGGGCGGGGGTGGGGGGCGCGGGCTGGGGACTGAAGAAATTACAGTGCAATTAAAAATTTACACACACGCATCGAGCCAGGTTTAAGTACCGTAGAGACCGAGCCATAAGCTCCCCCACCCCAGCTGCCCCAAGATGTTGCAAGTTAGGGCTGACAGTCCGATTCCACTCCACTTGTGGGAAAGGAGGCAGTAGGGGAGGGGGCGCCGAGTCCGGGAGCCCAAGTACAGAGAGAAATGTCAACGTTCACTTTGTGTGTCCAGGCTCTTGCCTGAGGAGCATAACTTGAGCTTTTATCCATCATTCTCGCTCGAGGTTTTATCATTGTCGGTCTATTACCCGGTTCCTTATTTTCACCGGATTCAGTTTTACTCAGTCACATTAAGGTGGGGGCGTAAAGGGACAGCTCCTCTGAGAGGAGAAAAACAGGCCTCTGCATACAGGTCTACAACCACAGACTTGTTGGGAGGGCCTGGAGCCTACTGCATCCCGCCATTTCCCTCCAGCGGTCTAAGTGACTTCCTAATTGTCGCTCTGGCCTCTGACCCGGGGGGTAATACAAGTGCCACTCACGCCAGAAGCTTCTGGTGGTAATTGAGGGCACCCTTTGTACGGTTTCACCAGCGCCTAGATACCAACTTAACCCAGTTGTCAAATATGACTAAACAGTGGGACGTACTGATTATCTGCCAGGTTTTGCTGGGGGCTGGAGTGGGGGTGGGAAGCATCAGCCCATACAACAAGCTGCACGAAGCCGCTTATTTTCACACTGTAACAACTTTGGAAACAGAGACCGACGAGAGCGGCGTCCGCCCCCATCGCCACCCCCGCTGAAGCTGCAGCTTGCTCGGCTGTTTGTTTAACCCAGCGAAGATTTGCATGTCGCGTTTCAGCCTGGAGTCGAGTTTTCTTGTGCCAGCTCCAACCTATGCTTACGCCCGACCATCAGGGCCTAGAGGGTCCTCTGCAAGGTTGGGGTGCGTTGTTAAGAGATAGACTCATCCTGGAGCGCCCTGATTTCGCAGACTTGTGAAAGAGCGTCTCCCCGACCTTCACGCGCGAGCGCGGACGACCAGGCCACACGTGGGCGCCTTCAACATTCCGCACTCTGGAATCATCCTGAAGCGCTCCCCAGACCTTGGTGTGAAAAGAGGTGTCCTTACACACACAAGGACGCGTGCTCGAGTCTCTGGCAAACTCTGAACAGTTTCCCTTCTTTCTGGGCCCCACTTTCTTCTTCTCTGGGGTAGTCAGAGGCTGCTTTTGAACTAGAAATACCAGCGCCCTCAGGCAAACCTGGGTACTGGTTTTAAGCTCATTCCCCTCCAAACTCACATCCTGCACTTAAATAATAATAATAATAATTAACCCCAAATGCTCATGTGCAAAAGACAAATTGTCGCGGAGGGGGAGCAAATGAGGAGGATGTGGAACTGTTCTCCCAGTGTTTTGTCTCCTCTTTTGCAATATCTCTTGGCCCAAAAGTATGAACAACCGTAGCGCTTCTCTCAGCCCTAAGATGGAGCCTGTGTGTATCCTGGCACACTTCGTGGGTGGGGAGGGCTATGTGGGTCGCTTTTGCTTCTTCTTTTTCCTCCTCCTCCTCCTCCTCCTCTTCTTCTTTTTGTTAGAATACTTTTGTTCAGAATGCTCCCCCCACTTAACGCTTTAAGGTGGCGAAAGCACCAAATTATGACAGAGAAAGAAAAAGGAGAGAGGGGGAAAAAGAAGATGCGCTGTGCCCTTGGGGGGGCTAAGGCGGAAATCCGAGAGGGGGTGGGGTTGTGAAAATCCCCTAAGGGACTTGGGGTGGAAGGTTGAGGGGAAATCGAGCCGCCTGGAAGAGCTGGAAAGCCCGGCAGGGGGACCGAGCAGCCGTTCCCAACAGGTGACTTCTGCCCTGGAAGTGGGAGACTAGTCCTAGGCTTCCTGTGGAGTCTCTGCGTCGATTTACTAATAGAGGGATTGTTAAGTGGCAGTGAGGCGTTTCCGACTCACCCTGTGCAGCCCAGGAGGAGAAGCGCAGAGGTTTCCCCTGTCCTCCTCCTCCCCCACCCCCAACACACCCTCTCCTTAAAGAAACCTGACAAAGTAATAAATAAGACAATCCGAAAAGCCACTTAGCACTGGTGACATTTTCAAGCCAACCGTTTAAAACGGTTCTCTCGGGCACCTCGGGCTCCCAGCGCCCTGCTTGTCTCCTTCTCCGCCTCCTCTCCCCACCCCTCCCACCGTTTTCCACGTTGTTGCAGCTGTCAGACTCTCGACGTGGGCATTCGGATATTCCTTTAGACACGCGTCCGCATCACAATAAAAGTTAGGGAAATCTTCCAAACGAACGCAGACAAACACTCGGGCCAGATCAACTCTAAGGTGGGGCCCCATGGAAATCTTTTCGTAGGAAGTCCAGTCCCCCCACACACAGATTTTTTTCATCCGCTAAAAAATCTAGTTTTTAAACAAAGATCAATGTGTTATGCTAAAGTGTTGAGCTGACTGTTAAAACATTTGGGGAAATAATGACAATGTAACAAAGGCCTGGTTTGGAGTGAATCATCACCCTTTTAAAAGTTAAAGCAATTTTCAGGAGAATAGCTTTCAGCAAACGCTTTACATTATTCAAAACGGCCAAATAATGCTCTATTATAGCGCCTGAATGCTGCCAGTCAGCCCCTAAGTGCAATTTGTGCAAAGGCCCCGGTGCCTTATCTCCACTTCTTTATAAAGAGGTGAATATAAAACAATTTCTTCCAAACCCAGACAGAGAGCATGAAAATTGCTTCCCTTTCTGCAATCAGGGCAATTTAACTGGAGTGCAATTAGCACTATTAAATGTCGATTCTGCATAAACAAATCTGACTGAGCAGAGAAAGTGGGGTGAGAACCTCATATACACTGAAACTGATTTTTTAAAATTATGTATCCGGGTCCTTTACAATTGATCCGTGACGTTTTCATCCTGGAATATATTTACATCGTAAATACACTATGGTTAAATCAACATAATTTTTTGCAAAAAAAAAAAATTCAATATGAATCCTAATAAAGAAGAATGGGGTAATTAAAGGGAAGAGTTCACTTCCTTTGAACAAATATTGTTTCTCCCATCTTGCCTTTCCAGAGAGCTTTGATCTGAGCAACTGCTCAAGTTGCTGTGTTAAAGAGGCAAAGCTGGGGAAACAATTGCGTCTTTAGCGCTGATCGGAAGAATTGGAGCTCCTACGCTACAGATAAAATGCTTTTCCCTGATGCACTAAGCAGAGTAGCGAGCAGGAAGACCAGTTATTGTCTGCACTCCTCGGTATTGTAGCTGGGTAAATATTAGGTAGCTGCCCAGTCTCCTGGGGAGTTTTGACCAGAAGCAGAGTTTCGCAGCGGATGTACAGCACCGGGGTGGCATGGGATGGAGTTGGGGAGAATGGAGAATATCTGCGGGAGGGGAGGCAGTGAAAGAGGATGAACTCAAGGTTCTCGCCTTGGCAGAGCTGGCTGCAGTCGAAGTCCGGGCCACCAGAACCAGGATGTGGAGTGGGGTTGGGGGTAAGAGGGAGAGGAGCTTGCAAAAAGCATTTACCTGTCCTCCCACTTGCCTTTATTTATTTATTTGCTAAGCCACAGAGCTCTCTTTTTGAATCGTTTGCGCAATTAATTATGCTTTTCATTTGCATGATCTACACTAGAGCAGTGATTATCAGGTCAGCTCCGTGTGGGAGTTGGGGAGACATATTAATAACTTGAGTTAAAAAAGAAAAAAAGATGCCCTTGTGTGCCATCTTCGCCTGCCATGAGCAAAGGCAAGGAAGCCCAGTACAGTCTCCTAACGCCTGTTGAGTCGGGTGAATCCTTCCTGCAGTTGGAATTTGTCAGTGTGAGTGAAAATGAAATGCAGCCTTTGATTAGAAGGGAATCTTTTATGGTTAACATGTATTTATATCTTTAAAAGCACCCGAATTGAGATCAAATGGATCAAGAAAATTAATTGAAAATTGAGGAACTCTCCCACAATTTCTGTTGAGCTTTCATTTAATATTTGTTCTATAATGCTCTCCCTCCTTCCAGTCCAACCCTGGCAAATAAAAGAGCCAGGAAGAATCAATAGGCCAATGAGACTTTCATCTTTTTTTTTCTATCTCAGAGGTATCACTGATATTTACAGGTAGTGAGAGATGCAAATCTTTCTTGCCTCTATAAGATCTACTGGAGAAATTAAAAAGCCCTAGTCTGTCAAGTACAGTCCAAACGTTTAAATTTTCTGCTGCTAGATGTATTTGGGCCATATATTTTAAGCTTGCCTTGATCTGTTTATCTGAGCCAAAAATGAATTAACAATTAAAGACAAGACTCTGGTGTGTCAAAGGAAGGAAGGTGACTGTAGACTGTGATGATTTTAATGACTGCAATTATTGGAAGATTATTAAACAAGCATCATAGATTTGTTTACTGCATTACTAGAAAACTATGGGAGGCCTATTGGGCTTAGGGTTGTACCTTCTTCCCTTTCTCATCAACCATGGTAGAGGGGTCCTCAAACTAAGCAAATGTGGAATTCAGTGTTGACTTTCCTCTTTTTCAGAGCATCTCTATCAAAATGATCCACATTTGTTGCCTTAGCCAACTCTACTCTATTGGAGACAATAATTAACTTTTTTCATATAAATTCTAAACTAATATCAAGAAAGCCAATGGTCACGGGATTCTGGTCATTAGTCATCTTCTCCTAGCCAAAGGACCAGCCTCCTCAGTTTAATCATGTCACAGGCAGCTTTTGAGGAGGCTTCCAACTTCCAACTCATTCTTCCTTCATCCAGGGATTGAAGAAAGCACAACTGTACCATGTTAAACAACCATT